CTCTGGCGAGTATTTGAAATAGTGACAAACAACTGATTCCCAGGTCTGTTCTATTAAACATGATATTATTATGAGCTGCAGTAATAAATTGGGCTCGAAACGTGGTCATCAGTAAATATTACTGTAGTATAACAAACACTGTAAGACTGTGGTGAGAGATGGTTGCTAGCAAAATTGGTTGACAGTAATTTAGGTCAAAGGTCAAGATGGACAGGTGGATACAGTTAACATATAGGTGAACTGACACAGGCACAAGAGATGCAAGGTTAACTTTGTGTGAGAAACAACCAATCAACAGACTGTATTTTCTACTAACATTAACCTACAATAATGTACATCAAAATCTATAAATACGTGTTGTTTTCCGTAATAAACGTTCTGTTGCCTGGCCCTTGTCTTCTGTTGTTACAAGACTTTATCAAAATGAATTTTCTCCAGAATGGGATGATACTCTAACACCACAGTCGACAAGTTCTATTCCTGCATCAATAACATGTCTAGTGGATAACCCACTTTCGCCTGTGATACAATGAGTACTAGCTTCGATTCTCAGTCGACGAGGGGGTAGGTTGGGGTGAACACCAACTCTAACTCACTCATTGGAGAATGGAGGCAAATCCTTCAATTGAGGAGGCATTCCTAACGAGGAGGGTAAAATGCACGTTACCCCGATGGATTCCACTCCTAGTCACACTCCACCAATTCATTGAAAATTCGACAAAATCACCTTCTAGGAAACATTTGAAATGAATAATTATTCGTGGAAATACAAAAAATAAGAACCCACAAGGATACAAGATAAATCTACACACAGCATAGGCCAGTAATACAATGAATGCATACACACTAATTATGATATCAAATACACACACACACACACATCAATTCAGTGCAATTATACACCGGCGGAATGTGCTTATATCATCATTGAAGCATTATAAGAAATGGAGAAAAGATACAATGTAGACGAAATAAACAAACAAAAATGAAACGAAAGGGAAAACTTCAAGACAAATGAACATAACATAGTAGATAAGTAGCCAATTACTCATGTGTCAATGAAATTTAACAAAGATAATTGAATTGCCTTGACTCGACTACAGTTGACTTGGTGAACAAGCGATTAATTAAGCGGATGGATAGATGGATGGATACAAGCAAATTACTTCAAACCAATCATGTGAAGTGATTCAAAGAACACGGTACAACTTGTGTGTGTGTATCTGTGTGAGTGTGAGTGTTAATAAGGAAGGGATGCAGACAAGGCGAAAAGGTGGGTCTATGACACCACTTTATTTCTCTCTCTCTCATGCTCAGTCGCTCGCTCGCTCGCTGGCACACACATGAACATGACGCTGATGCAACGCTTCATGCTAATAGCTAATAGATAGCTCTAAGGGGGGGGAAGGAAAACCATGTATCATATGATATGAGCAAAAGAAACGATAAAACCAAATACAATGCTTTCATAAATGCAAAACGAAAAATTAGTCAAATTTAGAGAAATTATAATCCTTCAGAAAAGGAAACTGTCAATTACACATGCGAGAATTGGATGATTGTGGAGCACGGGACAGGGAAAAGAGATTCGATTCACGTGCTATATCCTCGCTTAAACATTCAACACATACACACACACACACACTGAATTGTATATAGATGTGCATAATTCACGTATAAAGCGCTAAGAAAAGGTGAGTTTCAAATCAAGCAGGTTTTGTTTTGTTTTGGTTGAAATACTTTACTTTCGATATCTCTGTTTGTTTGTTTTGGGTTGGGGGTGGTGAGGGGAGTGGAGGGAAAGAGGAACACAAACAACATCGTGAGGAATCAGTCTGTTCTACATAGTTGCATAAATATATATATATATATATACATGTATGTTTGTCGTCACAATGCATATACAAAGACTGGATAGCACTACCGATTGACTTGGTGTATGCATGATGTATAGTTCTATCAGGATTATGATTGCTAGCATTATTATTATTATTACTATTATCATTATTATTATTTGGTGTTTTCAATCAGAAAATGCAGTCACAGTGAGATATCTAAGCAATATACACATGAAATCAGAGCGCATGCGATTCACACACAAGTGGTCAAGCAGAAGGGGACACTTAGACAGTGAGAGAGAGAGGGACGGCAACTCGAACAGGCTATAGAAACACTAATATCATGATTCTGTGTGATTCTCTGAGGTACAAGAACTACCTAAACTGACACACACAGGCACACACATGCAAAGTTTTGTAGAGCATTCAAATAAATCACCTTTTGGGGCCTATTGTGCACAGCAAATGAGATATACTTTTCTTGTCGTGATAAAACCGTATCATTTTAAAATAAGAAACGGGAAAATAATTATGCTGCATGACATAATAACCTTGATGGCAGGCAGTCAAGAGTGTTTCCGCTGAAAAACCATGAAAAAGGGAGAAACTGATTTTGAAATGAACAAGAAAATCAATGAACGGGATTATGATGACAGTAACTCAGTTATTATTATTATAACAACCGTAAGAAACCTCAAGGTCGTAGGTTCAAACGTTGCCAGTGGGGTGGGTGTGTACTGCTGAAGTGTCCAAAACTAGACTGACAAAACCCACTCTCGACTATTCGAGTGATGGTTTCACAGTGGTTCTCTAACTGATGTCAGTTCATGATGATAACCATTCAAATCCCTGGAAACTGACACTTGAATTCTAGATGAACATAATAATTCTGGTTTGTATTTCAGTTTCCCCTTTCAGAAATGATTAGTGTCGATAATGTACAACGTATTCAGTGTGGATTGTGTTGAGGAGACAGGAAATAGTAATTCAGAGTTCTTTTCAAAAGATCTCCTACCCGATATAAGCCTCACTCCACTGAATTAGTTGTTTTCTAAGTATGTAAGTTCGAGCATCTCTCTACAACGAGAAATCAAGATAATCAAGCTTCTATAGCTGGGTACCTATTCGACAAAAGCGGAATTTAATTAAATCACTTGCCACCCGCATCCGACGCATCTGTAGTTCCGATTTTCTAGAAACAGAATTAGATATTCTGAGAGAAATTTTCATCCAAAATGGATACCCATTAAGATTCATTGATAAAAATATCAAACCAAGAATTTGGAGAAATGAAACTTCACTTGCGCCTAAAAAGAAACTCTAAATGAACTTGGATTTCAAGGGAGATTTAACAAGCGATATTCTCAAGAGAAGGATCACATCATCTCTGAGAAGAACATTCTTTGCAGCAACGCTAAGAATAGTGTTCTCCAGTCGCCCACTGATCTGCAGAAGCCTCAAGGACAAGATTCCGCATCTGAACACTTCTATGTGCATATATCAGTTCACCTGCTGCTGTGGAACCAGCCAGGTACATCGGTCGTTCGACGCGCATCCTGTCCAATAGGATTCAAGAACACTATCCAGCCAGCATGGTTGCGAAAAGGCAATAGTGGTGCAATAAGGAGTGCGATAATTGAACACCTGGTTAACACTGATCATTCCATCTCAACAAACGCCTCCTGCTTCAAAGTAATCTACAGAGTCAAGAATAACCTACCAAAGGTAATACGGTTTCGTCTTCTTTGTATCGCTGAAGCTCTGGCCATTCACATAGAAAAACCGGAGCTGTGCATACAAAAGAGAATTACTCAACCACTTCTACTGTCATGGTAACAACTTTGTTGATTTTGATGACTTAATTTTGTTTGTTCGCCTGTTTCTTTAATTCCTTATAATTCTTGTATTCATTTAGAACTCTTACGTAATTTCGTATTATCTACTTTGTTCCTATGTGTATCCTGAGTAAAACTCACTCATCAAACTATTCATATTATTACATAACTTCTTTTAACAACTGTTTGTGACAACTCATCACCTTTGTTACTACCCTAATTTCATTAACACCTAATTTTCTTGACTGATTTTGTATTACGTAACTCCAATTACCAATCTTCACCTGTTTAGTGAAAATAACTATAACCAATTGTAATTTTGTTTTACAAACTAAACAAAATAACACATATATACTTGCGATTGTACAGCTAAGAAAATGAATTCGTCGTCGAAAACAGACTCTTCGCTGAACTACGTGTTTTGTTTTCATTAAATCAAGATAAATCACATTTGGCGATTTGCAATTTAATCGGTTCCCTTTGTAAACCGAAGTTATTCAGATGTATTTGATACCACAAATGACAGTCATGAAAGCAACCATAATTAAAGTACTGTATACTACTTAGAGAGACCAGATACTACTACTTAAATCAACCAGTAGTGCTAGCTAACCAGATAAAAAAGACAACCTAGAATTAGGATATTTCTAGTATCGATTTGTAAAAGCAACAACTAGAGTACATGAAATCCCACTATGAATTCGTCCAACAAATACGCCGAAGAAAATGGAGATGGATCAGGCACACGTTGAGGCGACCGTTGAGTAAAGTCACTCACCAGGCCATCGCTTGAGTGAAACCCAAATGGGAAACGATGAGTTGTGCGTTGGTCCGACGGTGACACTGGAAGAGTTGAAAGCTTATGGTCAGTTGGCTGAAAACGACTAAATGGAACAGGATGAAATGGGCGCGTGCCTTGTGGAGACCCATGTTCCACTCGCAACCCAAGAGAATAATAAAAGTAATATAATACTGTAAATTCATATCATGACAATTAACCTAATTATAAAATTAAAGTTTGTAGCAATCTATATATACTACTTATATAAGTAATATATAGTTAGTAGAATAAATATGATCACATTTTAATCTAAACTAAGGTATTTTGATGAGTAAATGCATAACTGAAGATTACTACTGCTCATCAAGATTATGGTCAGCCAAATCCCATGACTGAAGAATACCGTTGCCATCAAAGGATCCATCCATCTTCAGCCAACAATACATGAGTAAAGGAAATTCACATCAAATCATAGCCAAAAATCATAACAATGAATACTACCCACTTAATGCTTTTTTAAAAAAATCAATTGATGAGAGAACATACCTCTATCTTTCTGCCCATAACAACATGACCGTTAAGATTTTCGCGGGCTTTTTCTGCATCAGCTGCATTCATGAATGTAACGAAACCAAAACCCTGTGTTAAAAAAAAATGAAGATTTAAAGATATTTATTTGAATCAAACACTTAATGAGTTACAGGATTTCATCATGAGCTGACATCGATTAGAGAATCATTGGAAAACCAGTCAGAGTGAACTGGACAGCTGCTTTGTCAGACTAGTTTTGGGGCTGTTGAGCAGTACGCACCTACCCCACCAGGGTTCGAACCCAGGACCTTCTGGTTACAAAGCGAGTTGGTAGACCATTAAGTCACTGGGACCCAATCGAATGGCCCATGATCTTCAACTTCTGCCATCACTAGGCATCTCCTTGACACGGGTCATGAGGTGGACGTCAAAAGATCGTTCAAAATTGTCAACAGGCGAAAGAGTTCAATTCTCCTTAAGTTTGCCGAAGCAATCTCCATCAAGCGCCTGAAACCCGATTTATGCGTTCATAAAGAAGCGGTTATCAGTCTTCGCTTGCCCTGGTAACTTGATATTTTCATCCTCTCTTTCATCTGATTATGTAACGCCAAAAATTTCCATTGTGTATGAGTATTAATGTTTGGGATAGTGTTTATTATATATATATATTATTATTGTATGCGTATATTGATTGATTTTTGTTTAAAAATGAACTCTGTGCAAGTATGTTAAAATTGTTTCTGTAGATATACTTAATAATGACTTTGGGCTGTAAGCAGCTGATGAGAAGCCAACGAAATAAACAATGATGGTACCATTTTATTCTGTAAAAACCACTGTTGTTCTTGCTTTATTCAAATGGTTTGTTTATTCGAAATGATCTCCACCATTTGGCGGGAGGCAACAATGGTAACCGTTGCTGAATCGTATGCTGGTTAGCAGACAGCTGGAGAAATACGATCAGAGAAGTATTATTGTACATTTTATCGTGACGTTTATTCACAGACTTTGCACGCAGTAACTTGTAATCCTGTTTCGTAATCCCATTATGGGTAAAATTTATTTTGATAAAGTCTCACAGAGTGTTGTTATACAGTAATATTTACTGATGATGACGTTTCGAGCACAATTTATTACTGCAGCTCATAATCATATCAAGACACTACTCACACAACCTTCTAACTTAGTTTATATAATTCCATTATTTTTCATCGCTTGATTTGATTGGTAATAGTATTTTCCATATTTCCGGTGTATGAGTGATGAGTCATTCCTATTGCGAATTAGGAGCTTGTAAACATTTTAAATACACACACAAGAGTAGATAATACCATTAGAGGTCATATCTTTATCGATTAAAACAAACCGAACGAGAGAAAGTATATGCAATAGAGAGAGAGATGGAAGTTTTTTGGCAGCCCAAGCTTTAAGTAAGCCGCTTATCCCAATTCATGAGATGACCGTTCCTCATTGGTGTCCTTAGTTCACAAAATGTACTCCTGAACTTTTTTATGATTGGCACTCAACAAAATGTCATCGTATATTTCTTGAAGGAGACAAAGAAGAGATATCATAATAAATTGGTTTGCGCTTCATGTCAGATGGAACTGTGTCACACGATCTACTGTCATTTAATGTAATATTTGAAGATCGGGGACGAAGAGAAAATGTTACGCAATAATGTTACGTCAAGTATCCTGTACACTTACGTAAACCTTGTGTCCAGAATAAAGTTGTTATTATTATTATATTATTATGTCTGTAATCCCAGGAGAAGGGGACCAAAAGAATTCAAGATCCTTGAGTCCTGGGAGGAATTGGTTAACTGTCGAACAGTTGGAATCTAACCAGAGTAATTTTTAACTTAGTTAGTTAATTAGAACTCAGGTATCCGGTACCGGGATGTGAGCTACACATTGTGTGAGGGACTGATGACACTAATCAGTAGTTGCCTATGCTGAATTAGGCCGAGCGAGATCTGATTGTTCGATCCACCGGTTTAGAAGTCGAGTGCTTAAACCACCAATGACACACAATAAGACATTTAAAAAGTACTGACAGTCATGAAGTTCAAGAAGATAAGAGGAATGACTTACTTTAGATCCTCTTTCGTTGAAAATAATTTCCACATCCAGTATTGGACCATAAGGCTAGGAGAATAATGGAAACAGTAGCACATGGTAACTACACAGTAGTCATACAGGATAAATTTATTTTTTTCTCATAATCAGGTGAAATTTTAAATTCAAAATTTGAGACGTTACATACCGGTCGGAATGCAAAACAATAGAAAAAAGATATCACACCACAAAGTGGAAATTTCAACTCCTACTAACACTCGGAAAACTGACTGGTTTCAAAATAGAAATTTACACCGATGTGCAGCAGTTTGAGTCTCCGCTCTCCCTCCATGTACCACACAAAGCAAGAGAAGAAAGTAAAAAGAAATGCAAAATAGAGACATCAGACAGGGATATGAGACAAAAGGAATAGTAATAACGAAGAACAATATAGTTTCATTGGAAATTATAAGTCACAAGGAGTGGATGCATCTACGTCAGTCATTCAGAAAGATATTGAGCGAGCCATATCAGCGATTGTTTCCAACCATTGGTTTTTGTTGTCTTGAGGACCCCAACCTGGAAGTCAACACCCTCCTACGTGACTCGCTGGTTTAAACTAACTGTTGTGGAACTCATTGACTGATGAGTCCATATTTTGGTTTGACCACCACTAGCCAAGTCTTTTCCAACCTGACCCTACGTCAGCAGCTAACATTGCCCATTGCCGAGGAAGGCGATGGCTAGGCACACGTAACACATGTCCTAACCATCTCAGTCGATATAACTTCACAGCCTCGTCGATTGATTTCCCTTCCCACTTACCTAGCACTCGACCCCTAACCTCAATGTTGCCTACCTTATTATACCACTTCACATGGAAGATAGAACCCAGGCACCTGTGATCAAAGACAACTAGCCGGCCATTTCATGTCTTCCGCTTTCAATGGCCACCTCTCACTCACCACCACAAAAGAGGAGGTGGGAGCGGATTGCTGAGCATTACACACGCCATTTGGCCGACAGCCAGCCGGATATCACGTCTACGCAAGAGACGGCGTAAACTGGCATATGCGAAACTAGCCCTCTGTATCCGAGCTGAGACTTCGTCAGCGATCAACCCGCTGGGGCTGGCTGATGCAGCTTCACAAATAAGTGAAGTGGTCGACACGCGCCACCACTTCACTCCCTATTTCTAAGTTAGGAGTTGTTGATGTAGTCCAGTCGTGCAGCATCATCTTACATTTGACAGCAGGAGCGAATCGCATGCCAAATATTCGTAGATTGCAGCTCAAGGTGTCCAAAAGACTCTGCATTTTATCAGCGTCCTCACCTAGAGGGACCACATCATCTGCACATTCTAAGTCAACGAGATTATTCCCCCCTGGTAACAAGCCGATCCCTGATTTGCTGAAGTCAATTAGGGATAATTCCATTAGTACATCTATGATGAGATTGAATAGAATTGGGGATAGTGGGCATCCCTGACGGACTCCACTAATTGTCACCAGTTCAGATGACAACTCGCCGTAAGCTCTCGCCTGGCTGCATGAGTACGAGTAGAGTGCCTTAATCAGTGCAATGTATTTTCTCGTCATTCCCTTTACAGCCAAACATCGCCATAGTACCTCTTGGTTGACAGAATCGAATGCCACCTTCAGCTTACCAAGCAGGTGTTTCACTCCGATTTAAATCGTTTACAACAAAAAGGGCGGGCTGCTCAAAACACCGGATTACCTGAATTTGCATTCATCAAATTGCCTAAACTTTTCTTCAATTCTTATTGTTTTAATAATGCAAATAGATCAGATGAGCGCACTACATGAATTGGCGCTCATATTTAACTGGCTTTCAACAAAACGTCGAGCGATTCTTAAAGGAAATGAGGAAAAGACATACAGAATTAGTTTTCTCTTCATATGCATTAGATATCAAAAGCACTCAGTATGAAAGATAAGATCCAGATTTTCAACTCCAATGTGAAGTCAGTGCTACTCACTATTCGGATCAGAGACTTGTACTAAGCGTCACGAAGGCCACTTCGAACAAACTACAGACCTTCATCAACAGCCGTCCTCACTCAATACTCAACATCAGACGGCCGGCCAGAAAAGACCAGCAGCAAGCATCTCTGGGAGCGAACCAACCCAGCAGGAACCAATTGCGCAACAAATATGCAGGAATAAATGGAGGTGGATTGGAGGCCATACACTGAGAAAACTAACCATCAAACGACATCACACGTCAGGCCATCGCTCGAGTGAAACCCGAATGGGAAGTGGCGAGTCAGTTGGTCGTCAGTGCGAGGGTGACATGCAGGAGGTCATGTGAAGAGCATGTGGGCAGACGTGAAGCCAGGTGAAAACGTTGATGGAGAACCAAACACAACAGAGACGTGCGGCTGAAGCCCTATGTTCCTCTAGGAACTAAAGGAAACAATGACAATCATATGCAATGACACTGCGTTACTACTGTCAGTTAAACTGACTTTATTACTCTACATTAAACAGTATTACCGTTTTCCTACACGTAATTAGTGACTAGTTTAATAAGACAACGAACGATTCACTAATACGTTCCTCCTTGTCTCAAAATGAATTAGGAAATGTATTCACATCATTCAACAAAAACTTACACCCAATAGAGATCGTAAATCAGCTTCGCGGAATCGAAAAGGAATATTGGAAACATGCAATCTACGAGGACTACTCCCAGTAGATGTATTATTAACTGATCCTTTTTCTGTTTGCTGCTTTTGTTGTTGTTGTCTTTGTTGATGTCCAGGATGCGTTGAAGATGATTCATGGGAATTTTGGAGGTTTACAGAAGTATCAGTAATTGTAGTAGTTGGTTTTGAGGTATCACATGAATTTATTGTACTGGATACCACTACTGTTTTGACTGTTGTACTCAAAACTGAAGCTGGAGATGATATCGAGGATTCAAAAGAGGCATTCTGTACTGTCTTAGGTATGGCTGATTCATCATTTAATTCACCTTCTGAAACCTGTGAATAAAATATTAACATAGAACTAGTAAAAATAATGATGTTATATTATATATTACTTAAATGAATTAAGAGTAGTCAAATGAAAAACTTAGAAAAACTAGTTTCTGTGCCTGCTAGAGCTTGTTTGTAGAATTTGTCCTTAACCCTATATTCAAGCTTGAAATTTCTCGAAGTGCAGTCTAAAATAAATATAAGTGAACTAGTTGGACCTTGAATGATTCAGTATGTACTGACTACCACCTGATGACAGATAATCCTATTGAGAATCATATTAAGTTTCGACTAACGTTTACCGACTGAGTTTTCTAGTGCGCACCCCGGCCGATAACTGCTACCTTACGGCGGTGGTCGGGTTTGTATATCTCAGTGATCCAACAAGCTAAACTGGCTGGGACTTATGTTACTGCAGGTCCTATCATGCTAGGAAGGTTGTTTGGATAGCGGTTAGACTAAAAGCAGTTGCTATGGGGTACATGGGCTCCAGAATCCAAACGGATCGGATGGCGTACGGACCTTTATTGGACACCGGCAACCATAGAACGTATTTCCTGACACTGTTCCACTGCCTTGAGGGGGAGACTCCAAGTCAAAGGCTCGGGATGGACAACTACCTGCTTCGGTCAGGGCAACCAGAAGTATTCCAGCCCTCGTACTAGCGTGGCGTATCTTCTTGGTAACTGTATTGTACCAGGTTTTGTGTTTTAAATTAAAAATAATAAAGTCATCTAAAATCTATAGATACTTGTTCATAAGTTCCAACTAACAAAATACCCTATGGTAACAACAGAAGGCAAGACACGGAAACCAAGGTATATAATTCATTAATTAAACCGCTGTTTATATATCTACAGTTTATATTCGTTGACCAGTCACTGAGCGTGTGATTTTGGTTTAAATTAAACGACATGAAATAGAATGTTCAAATACATACATAGCATTCTGTTGCTAACGCAGTACTGAACTGTGAGAATATGTGAGAAACTATATTCCGTTGGAACACATTGTCTGTATCACACCACCACACTATATGTCATAACTTCGTGATTAATTTCCACAACTTCCATGAATAAATCAATACGCCCCCCCCCCCCAAAAAAAAATATTCACTTTATAAACCCTCTAATCCACAGCCTTTTTCAGTCAATACTGCATTTAGCTATCTAGAATTTAGATAATTTCAGCTGGTTCAAATCTCTGAGCTGAGATAATCCTCCGGGTACAGCATTAATGAGGTCGAACCCAGATGGGCAAAACGGCAGTTCACTTTTAAACCAAACTTCTTACTTGGAAAAAACCTTTTCAGTTAAACCAATAAATGCTGATCAATCACATACCAACCGAATTTTGAACTCATCAGCTTTAGATAACTTCGATACGAACTCAAAATTCTCATTTTTCTTTTAAATGAGTATGTTTCCATCTAACCAACTGATTAGAATTTAATGATCAGCGGTGTATTGAAATAAGAGGACAAAACTCAAGCTGATGCAGAACTGCTCTTTTCCACCTTTATTTATAGCTGGTTGGTGGTGAGTAGAAGTGGAATTCAGGATAAAGTGCATTTCGTCCTGTTTGGGACTCATCACCCGAATGCAACTCCATTACCCAGTGAGTGATGGTGATCCCGTCGATTGAATTAAATTGAATTAAATAATTAATAAGACCCGTTACACAGCAGAAAAGGTGGCTCTCATGGCCCAAGTGGTCCAGTGGATAACCCGCTTTGGTGCTTAAAACTATGAGCACTCGGGAACGCTATCACTGACTCACTTGAGAATGCAGGTACATTCAAATGACGAGTCAGTCCCAAATAGGACGAAATGCGCTTTATCCTGGATTCCACTGCTAGTTACTATCCACCAGTTGCCTTCAAGTTACATGATGAGACATCGTCGAAGCATCTACACAAGGAGGAGCCGATATGTCAACTTGAGACCGAGCACTTTGGTCCAATCAATCGACGGGAAAATCTAAATTGAATTATATAATTCACGTATGGTTGACCAATATTTCACTCCATGCTGAAGACAAAATGCCTAATAACAGCGCACCTTTTAGTAGATATATTTCAAAATCAGTATCGGAACAAAGATCTAGAGGTGTACTTATCTCAGATACTTAACCCAAGTGCTAATATCTAACAGCCTGCCGTCATTCTACTAATTGAGTAGGATTGGAATCGACAGAAGTCCTAGCTGAACATCTAGTATGGCACTGATTCATATAACACATCCCTTAATGATGACTGCAGTGAAATGATAACACTGCTAGTAGCCTCGTTGTCTCATAGCTCAGTATGTAGAGAGTCGGAGGACAATTAGTTGTTTGAATCTTGTTGCTGCTGAGGGCCTTACTCCACTCTGACATCCCATCTGTTACATAGATACCAGTCTGTTAATCTAAAACTATCTCACATTGGTCTCATCAGGCATCTGCAATATTGATGTTCGCTTGATGTTTACAAATTATTCTTCACCCATAAATGTTGATTTACTTCATAAAATCAATACTACTGTTCATTCAATGGCTAAACAGATAGATTTACAGTAAAGAAATCAATTTCTGACCATTAAATATCAATTTATCCGCATACACACACACAAACATAAAATTGACCGATCCCGCCTAAAATGAAATAAGGAAACAGGTATCGCATATATATTCAAATGAATTCTAGGTGTGACCAATCAAGCCACAAATCTACATGACCAGTTTTCATAAATGGATTGTCGAAATTCTTTTATATATAATTAGCTGTTGTCCTCAAAAGTTGTGTGGATATTCTATGTTATCCTCTTAGTAACATTTTCATGCTTGTAGGAAAGACAATAAAATTATCCCGTTATCCAAATCATGTACTAGTATAAATGTTAAATTCACACCTATTGCTATCACTTCTCTTTTTCTGAAATTAATGGAAAAAGTACTTTTACTCAACCTTGAACCTTCCTTGAAAAGTTTCAGTGACCTCTAAACAGTTTGCATATAAACAGAGTAGATGTACTTTAGACGCTGTCACCGACCTACATCACAATACTGTTTCCTGTTTAGACAAGGGACTTAAGTATGTCCGATGTTCTTCCCTCGACTATACATCCACTTTTGACTTTGTTCCCAGATGTCTTTTGTTAAATAAGCTTTCCATGACACCAACTGACTCCTTCCTTGACTGTTAACTGGTTGCATTCTTATTTCTTAAAAAGAAAGCAATATAATGTATACAAAGGTAAATCTTCCTCTGTCTTGCTTACTGAAGCTGGTGTCCTTCAAGCTTCTGATCCATCTATTCCTCTTTTTTCTTTCTTTTTACATGACTTGTCTTGTTTGGAAGAGATCAACTTTGTTAAATATGCTGATGATCTTACTGTCTCGTTGCTCAAGAACTTTCCTAGCTGACTGTTCCAAACTGATTGAATAGCTTTCTGTCCGACATTAGTCAGTTGTCTAAGCTTAATGGTCTTACGTTAAATCCCTCCCCAAATGTCAGACAGTTAATTTCGTCTTCAGGAATAAATGTGATCTTAACGAACTCATTAGTTCACACGATGTTTGTAGCTTAGGGGGCACTGATATAGAGAATAAGTCAAGCACATAAAATACCTTGGTATAGTTCTATCCTCTGACGCTTTTCTTGATCTCTCCATATTTTGTCAATTTCTACGGAAATGTTCCATCTAACCTACTACATTAAGAAGTTAAGACAGTCTGGAGTAACTCAACCTCTACTTTTACAATTTGTTAACTCTTGCATCTTACCTATTATTCTTTATTGCTCCTCCCCCTTATTCTTTCCTGGGTTACTCAAAAATGATTATGTCATATTGCAAAGGGTATTCAAGGTTGTTAGTAAAGTGAGTTGTGTGCCACTTAGTCACCTCGTTACTATCATACTAGGTGGTTGGAGGCAATCAGCAGGAAGCATTGGACACCACCTAGGTTTCGTGCTTATTGGCACTCACAAGTCAGCAAGGCATATCTGCAACCTTGAAGGAACTCATGTCCCTTCTGAGATTCGAACCAGCGTCACCCAGTGGTAGAGTCAGAGACGTTACCACTAAGCTATTCGGGTTCGTTACTACCATAGTCGGCAGACACCTGAACTCACACATGTGAGAAATGGTCTAAATCCATATTGTCTGACTGTCAATACCCCCTCCATTCTCAAATCCCCTCAACCTTGCATCTCATCAGGTAGGTCTAGAGGTCATTATAAACAGAACACTGAATAGCTCTTTCTTTCTCAGTTTCTTCATCACTGCGTACTTACAACCTCACCAAAGACCAAATCTGAGATCTTCAAGTTACGGGGTCTGTATGTTAACCATTTAGACACTGGATCCGGATATTCGATACCTGATGAAGCCGTAGGTAGTGGATACTGCTGAAGAGTCCCTGGCTAAGACGAAACAGCTTTCCGTCCAATACTCCCTGGTTTCCAATGATTCTTTAACTGATGATGTTGTTTAGCAAGGAAATCTACACATTGGAATAACAATTCTTTAAATATTCCCATTATTAATATTAGAACAAGACATATAAGCGAAAAATATTGTTGTTTCCAATTAGATCTTCTTCAGGCTTTACTCTAATTTACATAGATTTATATATAACAATTTTAACCAATGACGGCGATTTCGTGGATCAAATAATAATAATAATTTGGTAAATGTTTTGAACGTCATTAATAATGATAATAAGCTTTATGCTTATGGTGATATGTGTATATGTAGACAATTCAATAAATAAATTCGGTCAAATCTTAAAAGTTACGTAATACTAAAGGTGAAATGGACAAATAATCAAAGTTTAAATATATATCATAGAAGTACGAAGGAGATGGAAAATAAGAAAGGATGGGAGGGTTTTAATTAAACTTTACCTAAGCCAAGAGAGGAAGAGACAAAGGTAGAACAAACTTCTTTTGTATGCAAAGACAATAGGATTGTTCTCTCGAATTCCCATAGCCTCAGCTATGTGTAAAAGGCGGGTTAGAATTCCGTTCGAAAGGCTCGATGGAATGCGATAGATAACTTATGTCCACTTGGTGACCACTGTCAATCAAATGAGTCCAAATAGAACTTCTTATAAATTTTATTTGACCTTTTCCGAACCATGAAGGAAGATACCCATTAATACGTTTGTTAAGCTGTCTAGTTGTTCGCCCTATATAGCTCTCTCCACAGGGGCAACTAAATTTGTAGATACACATAGAAGTGGCACAGCTAGCTAGATAGTTTGTCTTTCGCTTGAGCAATCAAAATTGGTCGACAGCTGGAAAATGACAAACAAAGGGTGGCGGCAGTATAAGTCCGTTTTATTGCTCTCGATAATCTCAAATGTAAGACTTCACTAGCCACGTGCCCATTTAAGTGAAATTTCATGAACAGTTGTTTCTTTCTAACTGTTGTCAGTTTCTTTTTATTGTACCTGGTGTTCATGTGTCTCCTTACAAATTGTTATTAATGACGTTCAAAACATTTACCAACATTTACGGTATAGTTTTACTGGACAAAAGCGACTATGTTGAGAAAATGGAAGGTATTCTGAGTGATCAAACTAAATTCCAATCTCTTGGTGTTTCCAAAGACCTCAATGTAAGAGCGGAGAAACTAATGACCGACTCCCTCAAAAAACTGAACCAAATAGGAGTATTATCATCAACCACGTATGAGTCCATGAAACCAACGGGTACCAATACTCCACGTCTTTACGGTCTACCCAAAGTGCACAAACCAGGTCTTCCTCTTCGCCCTGTTTTAGATATGTACAACTCTCCATATCATGGAACAGCGAAGTGGTTAGTGAAGATTCTGGGTCCTTTGGACAGAGAAATCGTGCAACATAGAATTAGTGATGTCTTCGACTTCATTTCTAAAATATCTGAGATTAATGTGAGGTATAAACGCATGCTATCCATGGGTGTATCATCACTACTCATTAATGTACCGCTTGTGGAAACGGTAGACTATATTTGTCAAGAAATCACCGGAAGTCAATTTGACTTAGGAATCCCCTTGTATAGCCTCAAAGAATTACTTCTTAAATGCACAATCAGTGTTCACTTTGTCTTTAATAATTCATACTATTGACAAGTAGAAGGAATAGCTATGGGTTCACAATTAAACCCAATATTAGCTGACTTCTTTCTCGCAAAACTTGAAAAAGGGGAATTGAAGGACATCATCAAGCAGTTTGATATGTATTACTGATATGTCGATGATACAGTTACGTGCCCATTAAATATAAAAGGAATGCTGTTAAATGTCTTGCGAGCAGAGCAAGAAAGATATGTACGGATGACCTCTTACAAAAGGAATTTGAATATATTCACGATTCCGTGACGGAGATGGGCTATCCAGGCAGTTTCATAAAGAAACATATGAAAACATCAGAGAAAAAACCTGAAACTCTGACTGCACGTAAGAAACCTCTATTTATTAAGTTACAATTTAATGGTGACTTATCAAGTGAGATTCTATTCCAAAGACTTTCAAGGAGTATACGAAGAACATTTCACGCAGCACACCTATGTTTGTCATTCTCTAGCCGACAAATGATTGGGACGCAAACGAACGATACGCTTGATAGTTTTGCCACATCTATGTGCATTTATCAATTCAACTGCATCTGCGGTGACAGCTTAGACAATATGTTAGTGAACATCTCCCATCGTGGTTTGGCAAAGGACAGACAAAAACAATCCGTAGCTCAATTTTGTCACATTTAATTGATAGTGGTCATGTAGTGGAGAAAACGAGAGCCTTCAAAGTAATTCATCGTATCCCACCGAATCTTTCCAATAGATTTCGTATTCGTCTACTGCACACAGCTGAGGCGATAGGCATTCGAACTATTAAACCTAAACTATGCATTCAAAAGAAGTTCGTACAGCCATTATCCCTCCCTTGTTGGCCTATTAAGACATAACCAACTAATGACTTCTACACCACCCCTTACTTATATTTTCAACCCCTCTCTTATCATCCTTTAATCTTATCACATCTTCATTATAAACGTGTTTCATTTCCTTCCCTTACAATCTAACATTACTTAATCGGTTCATTTGTTTTTACTAGCCTTTATCGACTACTTCCACCTGAACAGTTGTTTGTTTAATCATGCTGTTTTTCATTATTCGTGTTATCACAGATTGCCTCACTTTTTCATCCTTATTATTGATAAGACCATTTCTATTATTACTATAGTTATTATTATCATTACTACTATTATGACTAATTGCACAATTTATATGCACCATCTTATTATCCTATAGACAAAACACCATGATTGGTTTATATTTGAATTTTTATTTGTAAAGTTATGTATGTTAGAGTTAAGCCTGATGATGAGCTCTAATTGAAACCACAATATTGTTCGCTTAAGCAGGTGTTGTTCTAAATTTTACTATGAGAATATTTAATATATTGAAATCAGGTTAGACTACAGACTGATGCCAGTTAGAGAACCATTAAAAACAAGAACTGGAGTACTGGATAGCAATCTGTTTCGTCAGTCTGCTTTCGGACTCACCGGCAGTACGTACCCATCGGGTTTCGAATCCGCTGCCTTCCGGTTACAATACGTGTTCGCAGAGCATTCAAACAAAGGGAGACTTTCAGTCGCGCTAAATGCATCACGAACTGGTAGGTGTTAGAATTCATGGGCTGGCAACCACTGCCGGGTCGGGTCTCAGTGACTGAATGGTCTACGAGTTAGCTCGCCTTGTAACCGGAAGATCGTGGGTTGGAACCCTGTTATAGGGATGGGTGCCTAGTGGTAATGAGTCCGAACCTAGGCTGACGAAACAACTGGCTATCCAGTACTCTAGTAATGGCTTTCCAGTGGTTCTCTAACCAATGTGAGTTCATGTTGAAATCATGTAACCAATCAAATCCCTGAGAACCAACACTTAAATACGAAGATTATTATTCCCATTAACCTACCTTGGTAATCTTAATGTGAATATATATTACCAAGAGTAGTGTGAACTATTATCCTTCTTATTCTTGCATCTCTTGTCATTCACTAAATTGCTCTTATCATTTTGTTTATTTTAAATGACCTTTCATTTTCTATTTTTCCCATAAATTGATTTGACAGGTAAGTGTATGTATAATCAACCTGTTCGAAATGTACTGCACACAAATGCATTAGGTAAATACATCAGGTAAATTCTGTCTTCTTAATCATGCTATCCAAATTTACTAAAGGGATTCATTAGAACTAAAGTCGTGGATGGCGACTAGCGGTGAAATCCACCAGGATAACGTTAATTTCACTCTCCTATTTGCGACTGGCTCGTCAGCTAGTGAGTGTACCTGCATTCCCTAGTAAGTGAGTGAGTCAGTGATGGTGTTCGTCCCACTGAGGTTCGAACCCAGTAGCCATCGTTTCAAACGGTAAAAGCGGTATTAATAATACTTTGATAAAGCTATTAGCATTAAATAGCGAAACGTCAGTAAAAACAATATCGTTTTGTTTTTCATTCATTGGGAAATACAAAAACCTTTATTATAATAAAAGTTCATCAACTTTAAAAAACAAAAAATCAATAACCCCCCCTCCAACTAAATAACCTTTACTACATACGTCTACATGCAAACATCAACATACCTCTGGTCCCAGCAGCATTACTTTTCTAGCATATTCAGGATCAGTATCTTCTTCAAAAGATTCTATTTGACTGGCATTTCTTTTCAAACTAGGAACTGGATTACTGTCGACAGTAGTACCGTCTACTAAAGAAATACATAGAAGGACAACAACGAAAAATTAACCAAAATAAATCTACAATTCATAAGGGAGTACAAGATGTCGAAATAAAAAATACACTTTAGGAGAAATCAAGATATTCAGTGTAAAAAGAAAAAAATCCATATTAGTTTGTTTATTAGATATATCACACAGTCAGTGAAACAGTATTATTTACTGGATGACGAAGTTTCGAACAAAATGTATTGCTGTTCACAATCATATCAATTGTAATCGCACGACTTCGAAATTTGAGTTTTGTAGTTTTCATCGTCCTCTCCTATTTGTCGTTGTAGGGGTAGTAGAATTTTCCAGATATCCGAGTGGACAGGTGTTGAATCATTCCTATTACACGTACTCTCTTCAGTTGATTCGATAAATAAAGCTTCCGTTGTTATCAATCTATCCCTCCATTCACTCTGTGACATTAGATTTGAAAACTGTCATCCTATCCCATCCTCCTATTGCATGGTTGTGTGTAATTGCATGTAGTGAGTCCTAAAGCTGAACTACTCTCTAGATTTCTTATCTTATTCGGGTCAACCAATCTAGATTTTTCTGCTAGGTTTTTATGCTCTGCTAGTTTGACTACCCCTGTTCTACAACTTTGACCTATGTATTTGACCTGACACACAATCATTCCAGCGGGATATTAGATAAACTAAATTGTTTTCTTTCATTGGCCCCACACGACTGATCCTTTAACCGACAAAGCTTGTTACTAATTGAGTTTGTGGACAGTTTGAATGCCACTTTTATTCCTGCCTTGTTAAGAATTGTGTGTAAGGTAGTTTCCGAGGTTCCTTCCTTGTATGGAATTACTACTGATGATTTAGATTCCTTATTATTGTTATCATTATTATTGTTATTATCACTACCGCTACTATCATTAATTTTATTTTTACATTCCCCTACATACTTTCTGACTAATTTATCAGGGTAATTATTAAGTTTCAAGGCTTCTCTTATATGTATCACTTCCTACTTAGTTTTTGTGCTTTGTCACTTAAACATTTCACCAATTCTATTTTTACTGACATAGGATGGGATGATCGGAAGTCCAAATATCTGTTTGAATGTGTGGGTCTCCTGTAAACACTAGTGTTTAACTTCCCATCTTCTTTCTTTCTTTTACGTTGCAATCTAACGTTGGCAGTTCCCCTTCCTGATTTTCCAATTCATAAGTGAATTGAATTGCTTCAACCTTCGAGTTGATATGTTCGAAAAATCTATCTATATCTTGTTTTCTAAGTACAGTGAATATGTCATCTACATACCTCCACCATACTTTTGGGATGAGACTGAGCGTTTCTATCGCTATGTTTTCCCACCTATCAATGAATATATCTGCTACAACCCGGGATATTGCTGAACCCATGGCAACTCCCTCGGTTTGCTTGTATATTTTCCCTTGAAATTTAAATAGTGTGGAAGTCAGGCATAGCTGCACTCATAGCATTATGTCCTCAAGTGGTACCTTCGTTCTAAGTTCAAGTTCTTGGTCAGAAATGAGTTCGTTTCTGACTACCTCTATAGCCATATTTATTGTCGGTATACGTGTATATAAACTGACAATGTCAAAACTAACCATTTTCTCGTCATTATCTAATTTTAAATTATCTAATCTATGTTTTGGTTCATAAGAACTGGTTAGTCTAGATATCGAATGGCTTTTAAGGGGATTTAATACCATGGCTAAATATTTAGATAATTCATAAGTAGGTGAATTTCTAAAATCAACTATAGGCCTAATAGGGTATCCTGACTTATAAACTTTAACAACACCATACATCCTACTGGGGTTATCAGTTTTGGGCATTAAACTACAAAACTCAAGTTTCGAAGTCGTGTGATTATAATTGATGGAATGATTACGAACAATAATAAATTTTGTTCGAAACTTTGTCATCCAGTAAATAATACTGTTTCATTGACTGTGTGATACATCTAATAAACAAACTAATACGGAATTACTTACTATCACATTGCCCAAGTTTTACACATCGATTAAAAAGAAAAAAACTCTTGACTGTGTAAGCAGCAAATAACTGACCCCACATCGTTCCCAGTGGAGCATGGGACTTCATGCTGGAGGCTTGAAATTTCGGTAGCAGTGGTGTTCATTTTTGCGGGATGGCGTTGCTAGTCTCATTGCTAACCAAACTCCCCTCTTTACCAATTTTATTACTAGTTTAGCGAGCGAGGCATAGGAGTGCATGTGCTACTGATATGGTTTATCAGTAGTATATAAAAAGCCGTCTATCGCAGCACAAAAGCATCAAATAGGAGGGAGATAGATTTGATGCTAGAGAAAGCAAATGATACAGTGTTGCGGAGACAGGTACAAGGGAGACATGAAAGGAACACAAAGAAACACATACACAGTATGAAGGAAGGCCAGAAGTAACACAACACAGAAGATCTGTGCAAATGGTGCGTTGGAGATAAAGTGTACATAATTTGGTTATATAGAGATACCAAATTCCAAATATGCATTCTTTTACCTAGTCCCTCGACTTCTTCCGTTACAATAATACTTTACAAGTTGAAAGAAACTCATCCAATAACTATTTTTCTTTCAACAGTCTGTTTGTAGGGATTGGATTTGTTTTAAAGCTGATCATAGAATGATATCAATACTGGACTGGTAGCTGTTTCGCCAACCTATTTCATGACTCCTTCAGCAGTACACACCCATCCCATTGCAAGAATTCGAACACACACACACACACACACAACTAGGTCGTTGACCGTTAAGCCAGTGGGACCCGACACCCCAATAACCAGCCCATGTATTCTTATTATTATCAATTGGTGATTTTAGCGTGAGTGGCACCAGCTAATGTGATCTCTGACGAGTGTTTGTCCTAATTCCAAACCAGGAGGATTGCGAATTTTTCTGGAAGTTAGAATTCATGGACTGGCGGCCATTGAGGAATCGAGTCCCAGTAGTTTTTTTATTATCTGTCTGTTTTCAACATAGAACTTTGCACTAAAGTGCTGCAGTTCAAGTCGCCACACTCCATGTAGCACACAAAGCAAGAAAAGAAAGTGGGAGAAATGCATAATAGAGACAGTTAGCAGAGGTGTGAGACAAAGGAATAGTAATAACGAAGAACGATATAATTTCATTGGAAATCATGAGTCACAAGGATTGGATGCATCTGCGCTAGCCATTGAGAACGATCACTTTGAGCCATATCACTAATTGTTTCAAGCCATTGGTTTCCACCTTCCGCAGTACACCAACCAGGAAGTCTACACCTTCTTACGTGACTGGCTGGCTTAAACTAACTGTTGTGGATTTCATTGACTGATGAAGCCATGTTTTAGATTGACCGCCGCTGGCTCTTTTCCAGCCTAACCCTATGTCAGCTTACATTGCCCGTTGTCGAGGAAGGCGATGGCTAGACATACGTAACACATGTCCTAACCATCTTTCTCAATCGATGTAACTTCGAAGCCCCGTCGATTGATTTCCCTTCCCACTTACGTAGCACTCGACGCCTAACCTCAATATGACTCACCTTGTTATACCACTTCACACGGGAGATAGAATTCAGGTATGATTGAAGACAGCTAATCTTTTCATGTCTTCCACACTCAATGGACAGGTCTCACAGCCTTAAAAGAGGACGCACTGGACTACTGAGTAGTACACACGCCCTTTGGTCGATAGGCGGATATCACGTCTACGCCAGAGACGGCGTAAACTGGCAGGCATACGCGAAACTAGCCCTCTGTATCCGTACTGAGGGATAGTCTCGCATATGCCAGTTTTTTTTATTATAGATTGATTCCACACCGTATTTTTGGTACAAGCATGGGATTTTCAGCATGTGATATCGGTAGCCAAAATTTCGCAGACCGACCATAGATATCAGGTGTGCGTCGGCAGGGGGTTGAACTCCGGACCATGTGCATGGTGGGCGAGAGTCCTAACCGCTGTGGCACCGACGCATAGGTTTACGAGCTAACTTGTCTTGTCGTAGGCTGGAACTCTGGCAGTGGGATGGGTACGTAGCGGCGATGAGTCCCAAACTAGGCTGACGAAACAACTTGCTGTCCAGTACTCGAATAATGGTTTTTAGTGGTTCTCTAACTAATATCAATCCGTGGTCAAACTGGTAACTGTGTTATCCTTATTCGTATACAAGACAAGAGATCGATTTTAGACAGTCTACTAAGCATATTTGGTCATAATGGTATTAACTGAAAGTCGTCATGTGTAGATAAACAGATGATGCTTTAAATATATCAAATAGTTAAATGGTAGGTTAGTGTTCCATATTATCTGAGAAGATGTACCTTTAATCCTTGGATATTCATCGAGAACCTATCACCAATAAAAGGACGGTTTATATTCGATATAATGTCTCCAGTAATTAAAACCTGATAGACAGATAGACTCGCATCAAGAAATCATGTGTCTGAAATAGTTACAGATCAGTGACACTAATCAGCTCAAGACGATGTCAGCTGCAAAGTAAATAGCTGAGTGGCAAGCTTGCTGAACTTGGCAATGATTCAGTCAGCCTCGGATGATGTAGATGGGTCACAAATCACCTAAAGTTTAGGGATACAATACACATACACACACACACTACTGAGTGCCAACGTGTATGGAACCTGGGTCCACACCTCCCTGCCAATTAACTCCATCCGATATCTAATAATAGCAAACTATATTACACACCAAAATCACCAGTAGTAGTACCATGATCATGTCTTAAGCCAGATTGATGGAAGATTTCTATGATCATACTTAGTGTTCATTGGTCAACATCCGGAGATCAATCCGTAACATGCGAACTGTCCATACATCAGCTAAACATCAGCTATATGAAGAGTAATGTTAATGTTTCTTAGTGAAAAGTTATGAATCAAGTCATCCTTCTCAGCAATAAGAGGCATTCTAGAAATGATAACAGTAGCACACAACTATGAATCCATGTGTTATCTAAATTAGACATTAATTTGAGCAGTC